AATACCCCACAGATTGTCGAAATAGAAAATTATATTATGTAGGGGTGACAAGACTTTTCGGACCACCCTGTACATATCTTGTAAAATAAAACAAATTTTAAATAACATATTGATATATCTATATCTTTTTCTTTCTCAAGGTCTATATTCTTAGTATTCTTTCTTTTTTTCTTAGTGCAGTCTTTCAAACCAATATTCTTTTCTTTATTTTGAAATATTTTCTATTCTTCTCCTTTTCTCATAATCTGTAAGCAGAATATGGGTCTCTTAAAAATCATGCCAGAATAGAATTTTCACTCAATCTCTATCAGAGAAGCCAGGTGCAGTGTTGACCAGAGTGATGACATCCTAGCCAGGAGTGGACACCTGATGTCAATGGCTACAACAATAGGTAAACACCCAGCTGCATTTGAGATGTACATATATAGAAAAGAACTGCATGATATAAACATCCAGCCCAGAGAGGGAGTCACTGATATCCTGATGAGAATGAATAATTGATTGCTTTGTTTTCTATGGCTTACCAACCCTTTGCAAGTTATTTAAAGACAAAAAAATATTTTTAGATTCTAAGAATTTGATTTAGTCATACTAATTAATCCATAGCTGAGGGGAAAAGAGGTGGATTCATACCTTTCTCAAGAGTATTTGAATATAATAAATCCAAATGAAATTGGAGCTCAGCTCTCTTATTAACAATTCTGAGCTATTATCCATTACACCTTGCATACACCCAAACTTACAGCACCTGGTACTCCCTAGCAGTCATCCAACTAGGTACTGATCAGGCTTTACGCTACTTAACTTAAAAATTAAGTCATAATTTTATGTTGCATATTGCCTCTCATAAAAAAAAAATGAGGCAGCAAAACAATCAAATTTATTTTCATGGAATATACAATAAAGGATTTTCCAAGAATTTAAATATGGATTAGTTTCATCTGTTAAGACTTGATCAAAGAATTTTGATCAAATAATTTATTTATATTCTACTGGAATCAATAGAAATAAAATGAAAATCCTATTCAACAACTTTCATTTGATAGTAACAATAAGTAAAATTGACTAAGACTTGGGTGCAAATGTATTTTGCTCTGTCCACTGTCTCACATCATATACACATTGGTGATTGGTGTGTAGAGTGGAATAGGTGTGCTGAGTCCAAATTTCATCTGATCTGGCATGTTTTTGACTGCTTGGTCACAGAGAGCATCACAGCCCAGCAAGGTTCAGTTACCCTTTTGAAGAATGCGCATCCATTCTTTCAGATCTTCTTGAAAAACTATATCTACTCATTTTTTTTTTGTATTGGAAAAATAGAATAAAAAAATTAAAAAGACAGACCTTGATGGTTCTTTTTAATAAAACTTGTTTGTTTATATTATATATATATATATATATATATATATATATTGCATAATAGATAAGAACAGGGTATGGGCAATGAATACTATAATAGATAAGGTAGAAAATGAGATGCAAGAAAAGAGTGAGTGAACAGAAGCAAGAGACATAGTGGATAATCTTAATTATCAGCACTTGTGTAATTTCTTTGGGTCCAGCTCATATAAAAATTTTTTTAATTTATTAAGAAATGTTTTTAAATACTTATCAAAGAAAAAGATGCAGATGCCCTACAGAAAGATATACATTGATCCAGAGTACTTGCTAATTAAATCCTGTCATATATTTATTATATTTATCTAAGGACATTTATTTCTTCATGTCTTGACACAACATTTATGCAATTTCTCACCTTTGCTTTAACATCAAGAAAAATTGCTGCTCTTGGAAAGAAAGAAAATCTTTTTGATATGCAAGTTTAACAAAATTTCAAGTGGTTCAAGTAAACCACAACCAATAATGTTTTCATTTTGTTTACTATAGACTGGGTAAAAACATCAAAACAGCAAGATATCAATGACTGAGTGAACACATTTACAGATTTTTAAAGAAATATGTCCGCAAAACTGGCAGAAACACATCAGGAAAAGATGAAATATTAGTTTGTCTGCAAGAAAAATATTATAAGACATTGATGAAGAATGGTAAGCAGGAAATTCAGGAAAAAGGAATAAATAAAAAAAAAAAAAAAGGGTTATTTCTACCCACAATGGCAGCAGATAAACGATACAAGGAAAGAAAGTAGGAATTGAGGGTTGTGATATGAAATGAAAAATATTTCTTTTTTTAATGTTAAAAAACAACAAAAAAAACAAACAGTGAATTGCAGTTGTGCATTGCTTATAAGCTATTAGAAGGATCTAATTTCTGACAATTGCATTAAAAGGTTTGGGAATAGAGCTATAGATATTTTCCGTTTTGTATATTTTTTATCTTTCAAAATTTAGTGTTAATGCAGCTACAGTGATAAAGATATGAAAAAATAGACCCCCACTAAAAAAAAGCAATGTGATAAAATCTTACACATTTCTTAGTGTATATAAAAAAAGGCCTAAATATAGTTTTGTAATGTGCCATATCTATAGAACAATATCTGCATCATCAAAAATGTGATTATACATGATAGAAAATGTGATACAGAAACCAAAGACATATAGGATTAGGAAAGATGCCTTATAAAAGCTAAGCAAAGTATGAAAAGATAGGAAAATTTAATTAGAAACAAAACTGGTGCTGAGTTGCTATGTAATACCTATCTCTCATATGGCTGTACGGTAGTGTAACAGGTTCCAGTTGTTAGACTGCTGCAATTACATCTCTTTCTTAATCATTTTGCATGCTGGCTGAATGTAAATGCCACAAAGGCAGAGAACAAAATAAAAAAGTTGTTTTCTGTGCATCAGGCTCCATGCAATCACATCCAATCTACAAAGCAAGCTCTAGCAGTGGTCAATCACAAACATTCCTGCCAGTAAAAAGAGATGCCCCTGGGGACTACCAGAGCTGCTTAAAAGATCTGTGAAAACAACACAAGTCAGTTGCAGCCTGGTGGGCCACTGGCCATCAAGAAGAGTGCTGATGCTGCTTCTGCCACTATGACCTTTGCCACCACCACTCAACATCAGTTACCACTCCCAGGCTTGACTAAACACCTCGGTTATCCAGCTTAGACTAAAAAATATCTCAACTTCAACTTCACCCAGCTACAAAGCTTCATCATCAACGATGCTGTCACCTCAGCAAATACCAACTTGATAACATTTTAACATCAACACCACAAAGCTACAAGCCTTTCTAGCTGCTAATGCTGTTACCTCGACAAATCCAACTCCACAAACAAGCAACTCGGACTCCGTAACCAAGTGACTTTGACTTTGCAAGGAAACAAATCCAACTCTGCAACTAAGACACCGTTATTCTTTTCTTTCACTACAAAATGCTTAATATAACACAGTTGAGTTCATTACATTCACTTACATGCTAATACTCTTGGGAAAGGTATGAATCCAATTCTTTTTCCCCCGCCATAGTAGGACAGATGGGGTTCTATAGCCAAACTGCTCAAGAAGAAGGAAAACTCTGAATTTAAAACTGCATGTAGCCATGGCAAAGCACATATTATGCAATTAAAGAAAGAATCATTTGCATTGACTCAATGATCCCAGCTATGGTATATGGCAGTGAATGTTAGACAATCTCCTCAGAAATTCAAGGGAGACTTGAACCTGCAGAGATTGGTTTTACTGATGAATCTTTGAGAATACCATGGACTGTAAGCAATGAGGATTTTAAGGAAAATAGGAACTGCAAGTAAAATGATACAATTAGAAATTGACAACGGAAATGTTTGGTACACATAAAGAGAAAAGAGTGCCTGGAGAATTTAACACCCACAGAACAGTGGATGCAAGAGAAATGGCATAAACATTGAATAACCTACTTAAGGAGGTTGCATGAATAAATGGCAGAATGTGGACAAAGACAGATGGTGAAGAATTACTTAAGAATAACAGAAGTTGTAGAGAGCTATGATTTCCACATTCTTAAAGATAGCACATTAAAAAAATAGCCAAAACAAAATACATATTCATGAAAAGAAAAACTTGTTTATAGAAGATTAAATAATATAAACTGTTGTGAAAATGCTTGGTTAATTTGAAAGGAAATAAAAAAAAAGAAGATTATATGTTTATGGTCTGTTTGGTTACTGAGCATTGTTTAATTAGGTCACAGATTTGTTCTATAATGAAAAAAAGACTGAATTCTTGGTATAATATCATCACTGATGACAGAGTGATTAACATACACTGATGTGTGTAATTTATTTGTAATTTATTCATTTGACGATGCAGAAACAATTTTTTTTTCTTTTAAAGAAGTATATTTTTTTCTCTAGAGAACAATAATTATCATTAACGTTTCCTGTTTCTAAATCAAAAGGTGTTTACACTTATAATCCTCCTCCGCTAATGATTTAAAATGCTGACATTACCTTCAATGAAAAGTTACAAAATTCTAGAAACATTTACTTAATCCATGTTTATGTATGTGGATATGCATGAGAGATTATGTGAGTGAACAAGTGAGAAGGAAAGGCCATTTTAATAATGTTATTTTCTTCACAAAATAAGGCATGCTATTCAGAATGCTGATCAGTTCACATTTAGCCCACAGGTAACAGTTTACCTATGACTGACCCAGGTGTTAAGGAAAATGTAGAATTAAATTTAAATTTTATTAAGGTGCTTAACCAGTATCTATTTTAATATTATTTTCTTTACAGGTGATATGTTATAAAAACCTATTTTTTTAATTAAATTGATTCATTCATTTTCTACAGCTTATCAACCCTTTGCAGGTTATTTAAAACCAGGAAATATTTTTAGATGGTAAGAATATTTTTTTTTTAGATAATAATGGTTTAGTGATAAAAGTCTTACTAATTAACCAATAGATGTGGGTACGAGAGGTGAATTCATACCTTTGAAAAGGTATTTGTGCCTAAGTGAATATAATGAACACAACAGGAATTGGAACTCAGTCCAGATTAACAATTCTGAGCCATTATTCATTTCACCACCACCTGCACATCCAAGATGACAATACCTGGTATTCCCAAGCAGTCATCCATCTAGGTACTGACCAGGCTCAACGTTGCTTAACTTTGATGATCATAAGGAAAACAGTGTTTCAATGTGATGTGGCTGTAAGCTAACTGAATTTTGATATCACAGATGATTCAGTAATTCTTATTCTTAATGATTTTATGAGGAATAAATCTAATTATTTTGGTTGTTTTACAATTGAAAGGATGGTTTGTATACTGTACTAGCAGGAGAGCCCGGCATTGCCCGGGGATGTAACAGTAAGAGATAGATCAAGTATCGACCATCATAAAGACTGAAAAATAAAATTGACAAAGATTATTGTTTAAGGTCGACAGACACGCATGTCTTAATTTGGTTTTTTTTTGTGTTTTTTTACGAATTGGTCAAACCCAAACTCAAACAAAAACATTGTTTTCAATTGTTATGAGTCTCTACCGATTGAATAGAATTTTATTATAAACAATTGTCTTGTAAATGGAATTTTTAAAGCATTCTGAATGTAAAAATAAAGAAAAAGTGCAAGACAATAAGAAACACTACATGCCAAAAAAAAAGTGAAGTTTTGTTGAAATCGGGTTGAAAAATGTAGGTAGCTTTTTCTGTAATCTTTTAGTTTTACAATTTATGATTTTTACTTATTGAATACAGTAAAAAAAAATGCATATTTTGCTTGTGGTGATTCATAATTAGAATTCTGATTTGAATATATTTTCCACTCATTGTTTCTAATACAAAAAATATTAACTTTATTTGGGTTTATTAATTATGATCTAACAAATCCTATTCATTTAGTAGCCTTTCTGTAATAGTAATCTTTTACAATTTATGATTTTTACTTATTGAATACAGTAAAAAAATTGGACACCATGTGTATTTAAAGTAGTTTCCCGTTCCGGTTATTATTTTTAGTTAGGACTTGTGTATGTTTAGATTTCATTATCTTTCCCTAAAGATAAAGAATTTATTCCGATGTTTGTATTCGTACAATCAGTAGAGATCATTACATTATTGTTTAAGGCTGACGGACACGGATGTCTTAATTAGTTTTTTTTTTTTTAGTTTTTATGAATTGGTCAAACCCAAACTCAAACAAAAACATTGTTTTCAATCGTTATGAGTCTCCTGATTGAATAGAATTTTATTATAAATAATTGTCTTGTAAATGGAATTTTTAAAGCATTCTGAATGTTAAAAATAAAGAAAAAGTGTGCAAGAGAATAAGAAACACTACCTGCCAAAAAAAAAAAAAAAAGTTTTTTTGTTTTATCGGCTGAAAAATATAGGAAATCGCTCCCATATTTAAAGGAACCCACACACACAAACAACCTGATGTGAGTTGTCCCCTTCCATTTTCACAATGTTCTTGTGTTTTCAAATTGATTTTGTGCAAAAACAATTATATTTTTCCCATTTTTAGTGCTGTTAGAACCACCACAAGGTAATTTTATGTAGTCCTGTGAAGTTTTGTTGAAATCGGTTGAAAAATGTAGGAAATCCGATCCAATATATAAACGTTACAGGCACACACACACACAATCTGTGTTTTATAATAAGTAAGATATGAGAAAATGAAGAATTCAATGTATCCCCAATTTTTATAATGTTTTTGTGTTCATAGATACTTTAAAAAAAAAAAAAAAAAAAAAAAAAAAAAAACTTTGTTGTGTTTGACCAATATAAATTTTATCACATTTACTACATGGGATTATATAGCAGAATTTGAATAATATTTATTATTCTTGTTTTTTCACTTATTAAATGTATTTTTATAGCAGATATGGTTTGAAGAGTTTTAATTCCAAGGTCTTTGATTTAATCAGCAATTATTTGATTAAATAGATTTGTTGATAAACAAAGTTATCAAGAATCTGAAAGAGAATTTTTTTGAAACAATATTATTTTTGTGTTAACATTTAGCACTCTGCATCTTTTATAAATATTACTTACCCTTTTACTGTAGACAGAATCCCCTCAAAATATAGTGTTTTATATATTAGTTCTATAAGTTTGAAATTGCAGTAGCCTGGCTCTAAATTTAAGTCAAGATTGTTTTAGGTGTTGCCATAGAAGGTTATGACTACACATTCAAGAAATTGCATTGGTAGGACTAACATTTTGCTTAGTGAAAATAGTCACCTACAGAGATGCTAAAGGTTAATGCTGATGTGCCTGTTTAGAGATGTCTTTTTAGTGTTTTGTATGAAGTAGGATACTATACTTATTCTACTGTGTTCTTTAATGTATTTAAGTTCTTTGTTTAGATCAAGTGAGTGGTTGTAAGATAAAAACCTATTATACCAGTTTTAGTTTCATTGTCATGATGTGAGTAAAAATGTATGTAGTCATTCTTATTTGTTTTTATAGATTCTGAATTCTCAATTATGACTGAACCTAATTAATAAACTGTTTAAAAAAATAGTGAGTTATTTTCTATTTCAAAAGTAAATTAGGTTGTTGGTTCAAACTGAGCCTGTTAACGATGTTTTTCATAGAAATGTTTTTTGAGATAAATGATTGAGACATTATTGATATGTCTGAGATATAATGAGACTTTTTTGAAGAATGTATTGAAATGTGCTTGATTCTAAAAATAAGCAAACTAAACAGCGAATAAGTGGGATAGCCATAGGCAGTCCAAATTTCTGTTTGTAATAATTGTTGTTGAATTTGACCTACAGAGGTGATAATTGACATCTACTGAAAATGATATGATAATGTCGAAACTGTTAAATGTAGCCATCTCTTCTACTCCAATAACTTCATGTCTCACACCTCTTCCTGTTTCCTTGATAACTATAATCTCCAACTATTCAAATGTAATGTCAATCAACATCTCTAGATGCCCTGATCTATCCCCCATCTTTCTCTTCATCCTTTCCTCTATCACTCCTATTTGCATGCTAGTGGCTTCCTGCTTTGCTTGGGGTGAAATGCTTAAAAAAAAAAAAAAATATAGGGAGAGGTAAATTTATATTTCATCTTTTAAGATGTTTTTCTAATTAATTAATTAATAACTAATGGAAATATTAGTATATAGAGAAATATTATCCAAAGTAGCCAATACCTTGTTTGTATCTCAAGTAAATCACCAGAATTCTTTAGATGTGCTGAATGGATAGTACCAAATAGGATTAGAATTTTTCTGATAGATATGGTAAGAACTAACATTTTAGTTTTCTCGTTTCTCTGCATCAACCTCTGTAGGTCATCTTAATAGTGAATTCGTTATTTAGTATACTCAAGATTTATAAGAAAGTTTTCAGTTAAATTCTTTAGAGATGAGTTTTTCCTTAAAAAGGTTCTAAAGAATTTTTTATTTGGGAGAAGCCTCACCAGTTGCATCAATCTAACTCATGTCTCTTACTTTTTATAGAATTTTTCCTGGATATGGATAAAGTCAGTACAGTTTATAAGTATGTACTTGCTGGTATAAGGTTCTTGGTATGCAGTACATAGTGGAGGTTCTTCGATGCTCAGTTGTGAAAAAGTCACTGAATTGCATGCATATTGGCCGCTTTGAGGATGGGGGTAAAGAAACGTGGGTGGAAGGGCATCTATCAGCAGCTAGAAGATTTGTTTTTTTGTTTTTTTCCTGATCGGATTGGTAAAATAAAAAAAACAAAACACAAAGTAATAGAGAGAAGCAAGATTGGTATTGGAGTGAGCGACATTCCCTGCAAGTGTTTTTTTTTTTTTTTTTTTTTTTTGGATGTCAGTTATTTCCTTGATGAAAGTGTCACCTACATTTTTATTGCCAAACCTGGAAGAAAGTAGGTTTATACATAACTGGTCAACATGAAAGTTGAATACCAACAATAGGTTTCGCAATGTTCTGAGTAGTGCTACCAATTCCAGAGACTACTGGTCACATTTTAATATTAATTTGATGTATTTTTGGAATACCTTAGTATAATGTGGGTATGAAGAGTCATATTCTATGCAGGATGACCACATTTCATTTTTTTTTTTTAATTAATCTTTTATAAGATTCTTGTTTATTGCTGTTAAGTTCGTTTCTTGATATATTTTATTACCTGCTGGTAACAAACACATACCATAAGAAAATGACAATACTTATAATTACTATATCTCCATCTTTGACAGATAATGATTTGGCTATTGCTTGGTAATTTATTTAAAGCATTTATCTAACTTTTTGAAAGAATAATATATGGATACACCGTCAAAACTCTAGATGATCAGAGCTGTGCAGCTGATCTCTCTTCTGACCTAGCAATTGGGTTTGGTTGGTTGGTTATCTTTTTCAATCTATTGTTAATTGGGGCAAAGAATGGCTTGTTAATTTTAATGCCTCCCAAACTAAACTTCTCTCCATTAATCATCTGAGAGACCCCTTTTTTCCTTCCATCAACATGGCTGATGCTAACCTCCAGGAGAGTCACTCATTGTACCATCTTAGGTTAATGTTCTTGGCCAACATGAAGTGGAAAGATGATATTGAATGCATTGCTAAGGTACTAAGAAAGTTGGTTCACTGTGTCATGCTAGACAATTTTTCTCTCCAAAGTCTATCTTGATATCTATAAATCTACCATTCATCCATGCTTAGAATATTACTACCACATATGGTCCAGTATTCCTTCTATATATCTAGAGATATTGATAAAATCCAAAGAAGAATTGCAATATTATCGGTCCTGATGTGGCATCTCATCTTCAGTCAATTTCCCACTGCCATAAAGTTGCTTCCATGTGTCTTTTCTATAAATACTTTCATGGTAATTATTCAGATGAACTATTCACTATGGTACCTAGACTTTTTGAATTTAAGTACAGTACTAGATGAGCAGAAAGATCCGATCAATTTACAGTCAAGTCGGGTAGATGTAACCCTAAGTTCTATGCTAACAGTTTGTTTTCTCACACTTCTTGCTTATGGAAATCTCTTCTGTTTCCATGTTTTTCAGTCCAATTTAATCTTCAAAAATTTAAATGTAATGTCAATTGTTATCTGCTGATTACTCTTCCTTTGTTCCTGCACCTTAGTAATGTTTCTGTTTTCTAATTCTTCCATATCCAGTAACCACTTGTGTCTTAGGGGCTTTACTCCCTTGCTTGAGGTGAATTCACTTAAAAGAA